GTTCCATGAAGATATTTTGTAAATGTCCTACCGTAAATATATCAAAACTTAATTTTTGATTAGTATTATGCATTGCTAAGAACTTCATTTGAACAACTTTAAAGATGATTTTCTCAATATTTTAATTTTTTAGCACCCTCAGATTCCAGATTTTCAAATAGTTGTCTCTCAGCCAAATATTGTCCGATCCTAACAAACCATACATCAATGGAAAGCTTATTTATTCAGCTTTCAGATGATCTATGATTTTTTTTTTTAAATGACCCTTATGACTGGTTTTGTGGTCCAGGGTCACATATTATGTAGCAAATGAGAGGGTTCCCATATAGTTTACAGCATTAGTTAAGAGATTTTTTCTTTCTTTAATAAAACTAAACTATCGGTATTGAGAAATATCATTCTGAATAATTTTGAACATTTTGCATACAAACATTTGGTATCCTTTTTTGTGTTCAAAAGTGAACAAAAGTCTTGTGGGTTTGTAACGACACGAAGATGAGTAAATGACATTTTTTGATGAATTAACTCTTTAACAACTAATCAACCAGTCTGGCAAAAGATGTGTATTGCTGTGTCACGGATGCTTTAAAAACACAAACTTACCTTCCTCTCGGTGTAAGGCACTGAAGCTCTTTAAAGACGCACACAGCGTCTCCAGTAGCCTGGATGACGTCTGCCTTCGACAGAACATTCTGAGCGAACGCCTGCGACAGAGAGAGAGACATGATCACCATCAAACACACACACACGTCTAGTTTACTATGCTTGTGGGGACTCTCCATAAGCATAATGGGTTTTCTACTGTACAAACTAGAGCTGTACGATATATCGAAATTATCAAAATGTCACAAATGTAAATATCGCAACATGCATATCGCAACGGCATGGGATATCAGAATCATTTTATTAATGGGCTTATTATTATTATTATCTTATTAATAGACACACATATGCATAATTACGTCAAAAACTACACGTCTCGACAATCATTCTTGTAAACGCAGTCACTTATGCTTTACTGTAAAGCTGCTTTGAGACAATCTGTATTGTAAAAAGCGCTATATAAATAACAGTGACTTGACTTATGTTTTAAATGAATATAAACAGCGGAGAAAGAACTCGATGTGCATCATTACACCGAATCCGTGCAGTCGGTCTTAAAGGGACAGTAGCCTATAAACACGTGCTGCTGAAAATGTCACTAATGTTAATCAAACAGCAAAACACAGCTTTAACAAAGAATAATCTACATTTAATTCATACAGTGAACACTATGCAGTGTTAATTTACACTTGTTACACTTCTGTACCTGAATACTACTGTTAGACCTTATTTTATTTCTAACTGTTATATTGTATTTATCTATGCTTATCTAATTTGTGTATTTGTTTTTGTTTTTTTACTGAGTGTTCACTTGCCTTTAATCATGTGTAATCAACTTTCTTAGGCTATAGTTTTTACTGTGGTATTGAAGAAGCACTTAGTGTACATTAAGTAATAAACAGAAAACAAAGTTACATTGATATAAAATAAGTGGCGCTACTTTTCTTGTTTGTTTCTTCACACTGATGTTAAAATTAAATTTTCAGAGTTGTAACATAACTTATGTAATGCTAAAACACTGCTGGTCACTTTCAGAAGTTGTAGCTTTCTTTTCCAAGAAAGAATGGGAAACATATATTGGTTATTCCTGACCCTGGAGCACAAAAGCAGTCTTAAGTCGCTGGGGTATATTTGTAGCAATAACCAAAAATACATTGTATGGGTCAAAATTATCGATTTTTCTTTTATGCCAAAAATCATTAGGATATTAAGTAAAGATCATGTTCCATGAAGATATTTTGTAAATTTCC